GCGGTGCCTATTTCATTTTTTCTACTAGTGTGGATTCGAAATTTCATTGATGAACTTGGTGTTGTGCCCTCAATCAAGGGACCAGTAGACCTGTTTTGCGACAACAGTGGGGCTATTGCTCAGGCCAAGGAGCCGAGGCAACACCAAAAGGTCAAACATGTCGAGCAGCGAGTTCACCTCATAAGGGAATGGACTGCTACAGGTGAAGTCAAGATTTGCAAGGTTGGAACGGACAATAATATAGCCGATCCACTTATGAAACCTTTGCCTCAAGTGAAGCACAACTAGCACATTGAGGCAATGGAAATTAGGCGCATTGGAGACTGGCTCTAATTTCCTGTTTTGTGTTTTAACTAAGTTTTGGACATCTTGATGTAAAACACTAAGTTAACCATTCATATATGGAGTAATTCTATTTTTTGCAAAGTTATTATTCCATGTCTATTTAATTGTAGTTTAGAATTAAATAATGAGTCCATTCGATTTGACGATATTCAAAAAAGGGTATCAAGACAATGTCTTGGATAAAGAAACACCTGCTATTAAGTGAACATCGAATGTAATATCGAAATTTTACATGATCAAGGTTATTTGAAACTTAGACAACTAATGACCATGTGAGATTAGTGTGTAATATGATTTATAACGCAGTTTCTTGTGCTACAAGGACATGAATGTCATAAATCATTTGCACGGGTATTATATTGAAACTACACCGAACCGACCTATGAGAATACTTTAAGAGATTTAAATGATCGTCATAAGTATATTCCTCATTATAGCTATCAGTATCTATTTCCTCAACCATGAGTACTGTAAGTTCGCTTGTTTGAGCACTAATTTGTTTTAATGTTGTCAAATGTCTTCTGTAAAAAGGAGATAATAAAGGCGACACTCGGGTGGCTAGGTCTCTTAGTAAGAGAAGCTTGAAAATACAAGATTGGAAATGTCCTCCTATTAATAGTAGGAAATATGTCTTTGTTGTTTACAAGGCCTCTCGAAGAGCAAGACTGTGGAAACGCATGCCGTGCATAGATGGATTTTGGAAATCATCTATACTTGATAGTCGAAGTTGGAATTTCGAGAAACAATTCTGGACGTAATAAGGATGACGAAAAATCTTACCTTATTGTTCATGAAGAGGCATTAAGTGACATAGGAAAAGGGCAATACACATATTGCACACTTGCCCGGAAGGACAAGTGGGAGATTAAAAGGAATGGTGTCCTTCAAACAAGTGTATTATTCCGATAGAGGGTTCAGAATCAATTACGGAGTTAATTATTCAATGAAGTCAAGTGATCGGAAAGTCGGGCTAGAGGCCATCTTCGATCAGTGAGATTACACCTAAGCGTGCAATCGAACTAAGGCGACGAATTAAGCCGAAGGTCTTAATACGTCGAACTAGATGATTCGTACTCAAACTTTGGATTTTGAGCTTAGAGCGTCGAAGCCGAACGTCAAACGTCGAGTCGATTCTAGGAACCGATGAGACGAGTAAATAAGTCAAACAAAAGAAGTCATCACACACATAGCCCTAGCCTCGCATTGGCTTAGCCGTGCGAGGGCTAGGCTAGCTAAGTGTTGTCGTAAGCCAAGTATTGGCAACAAGCCCAATAAGTCGCGCGCACGTGCTTGCTTGGCGTGCTGGCCATGTGCGCGTGCTTCGCTAGCATTGCTAGCAAGGCCAGCAGGTAGCGTAGCTTGTTAGGCCTCGCTAGCAAGTGCTGCGCCCAGCAAGCAGCCCGCATATAGCGAGACATGCTTGTGGGCAGCGGCAGCAACATTAAGCCTTGCTGGCTGGCCCAACCGAGAGCATTAGGGTTGCCATCAAGGCGCACCTTGTTGCTCAAGGCAAGCCATCCTGCTGGCCGCTTCCCATTGGAGCCGATAAGGCTTAGGGAGCAAGGAGGGCCTTGTGGTCCTCACCTAACCCCTTCCTTTGCTTGCCACTTGTTGTTTGATTATTTGCTTCTTGTATTTAGTTTATTTTGGAATTAAATTAAATGCATTATTTCTCACTTTATGGAAAGTCCCACATTGAAAGATTTCAAAGGGATGAGAGATAACAAGTCTATAAATATTCAAACTTGCCTTGAGAATTGAATTGCAAGAGTTGAACTCGAAAGGGCATCTCCATATAAAACGTTAGAAAACCCTTGGAGTACATAAACCTCTTTTAGTAGTGTCGTGTATTAGCCTAGTCGCTAATGCCGACCAAGTTTCGGGCGCGTGGGTGGACTTCGTTGGAGGAGCCACGTGTGGGGTTCTCACTTCGTAGTTCGAGGATCTTGCTCGAGTGAGGTGGGAGCACGCTTCAAGGGTATGATCATTCCCCCCCCCCCTCTCTCTCTCTCTCTCTCTCTCTCTCTCTCTCTTTCGTGTGTTTATTACTTTGTTTATTATATGCATGTTTAGTCGTATTAATTTATGCATGTGGTCCGGGGCGGGGATTGGTTCCGCACGGTGTTCGAGACACCATAAAACCCAACAAATTGGAATACGGAGTAAGAAAAATATCTATGATCCGTATTCGTAAGAATCTATTGCTTCGTATCATTTGTTTTGAGACATGAAATAATATAATGTTATGTTATAATGTGGCATAGTTAACTTCATATTTTTTCGTCCAAAAAAAAAATTCTTATTTTTAAGTTTAAGTGTTCAATACATGGCGATAACAACATTCTTTTAATTATTAAAATAAAAAGTTGATATGAAATCAGAGGTGTTACATTTCATCTAAACTTTTTTTTAATGTTTGGTAAAGTAGCAGTTGACTAGATGTTACATCCAAAAATCAATATTTTTTTTCCTAAAACTATAGATTAAATTTTCAACAGCTACCTCTAACTTCAAAAGCTAATATTTTTAAGTTTTGATAAAAGCTACTTCCACCACTAAAAGATACCCCAACCACTACATTACCAAACACTCTTATTTTTTGGTAAGTAGTGGTTTGACTTGGTTAAACCACTAAAGTTACCTAAAAGCTACTCAAAAGCCAGTGCCGAACACGTCCTTAATAATGACTTTTAATACAAAACTATATTAGAACTCATACTCTACCAAGAACAAAATGAGTAAACCGAAACAATGTACATACTCTCTTCGTTTTTTACCGTGTGCCCCATTGAACCTTTTTGCAATCTTCATTTGATCGATTTTGACTGATGTTTTTGAATTATACATAGAAAAAAAAAAGTCCTATGGGTACTTTTTTGGAATCAACTTAATAAATAGATTATTACTTAATAATAATTATACTTATTAATCTTCAATTGTTACAATATATTACTTATTATTATTTAATTGCTGCAATTTATACTCATCAATAATTAAAGATTTTATTAGTCAAATTTACTAATGTCAAATTGGGTACCTAGATGAAGTTTGGATTGACCCACGATGGGTCGAGATATTTGGGTTGGGTAATGACGGATACTTTTTAATAGACCAAATCAAGTAAGGTCGAGCTTAATTAGATTCGGGTCAAAGTTGTGTCCGATTATGGTCGGGTAAAAATAGAAATCGGATCAAGTCAAATTCAGGTTGAGCTCGAATTTGAATCTAACTGGGTTTATTTGGGTCAAAATGGATTTAATAGACTTTGAATTGGGTCATTTCATATTCGGCTAGATTTCAATTCAAAATCAATTGAGTTTCTGTTAAAATTTGAGTCGAGTTATTTTGATTATTAGCTCAATCTTAGGTCGAATCATTTAAGTTTCGATTTTTAAATTGCGCCATTTAGATTTCAACTTCATGAATTGAAATAGAGGGGTATAACTTTACCTACACAAGTACTACCTCTATATTTTATTACTTGTTTCATTTCTTCCTTCGCGGAGTTTTAGTAGGAATAGTAGAAAGTAATGAACTATGATTGAAGTGGGGTTGGTTGAAGATTAAAAAAAAAATAATCTAAAAACACAAAAGTGAATATAAGTAGGAAGGAGAGAATACGAAAAATATTAAAATATGATATGAGAGGACCACTAATGGAAAGAAAAATAGTAAAAATATTATTAAAAGTTTTCAAAAAAGGAAATGAAGCAAGTAACAAAATATGGCCGCGAAAAGAAAGTGGAGCATGCAATAAAATACGAAGGGAGTATAATATTATCTTTCAGACTTTCACTCCAACCAACCCCACTTACACAAGTATTCTATAATTTTTCTCTTCTAATACTAACAATTAAATATAACCCCCTATTAACTACACTTTATATATAATTTCTTCCGTTTTATTTCCACTACAATCAACAAGTCGATAACTAATTAACTAATACGTTTAGGGTCAGGTTTAATAAAGGTCGTTGGTAGTTTTGGGTCGGGTAAATAAAGATATTTTTCCGATATAAATGGTTTCGGGTAGATTTCATCTTGGGTTAGATCGAATTCAGATCATGATTGTCGAACTCTACTGGTTTCGGATTAACAATGGGTCGATACTAAGTTGGGTTTGGATCGTAACTTACCAGGTAAAGTTGATTTTGAGTTGATTTTGGGTTGATTTCAGATTGGATTTGAAAAATTAATTCTTCAATCTAAGTAGTTTGAAAATAATCAGTTTTAGATAAACTTTTCGAGTGGGTAAGTTTTTGACAGTCTAGTCAAATTTCTAAATTAACGTGCAGAACTCCAATGGAGTACTTTTAAAAAAATAAAGGGAGTACTATTTCTATTTACTTTGTACTTGAACCAATCATATTTTAAGGCAAATTTGATTAAGCAATTTAATTTTCTTCTACAATCATCCATCTTATTACATGGCCGGCAGTTATTGGGCAATAGTACACTTGAAAACTAGAGAGGCGAGCCACTCCTGCTATAGCCTGTATAATACTCTTGAGTAGTACAACTACACTCTTTCCATTTTTCCAACTCTCTGACTTGTCAAATCCCACTTTTTTCTCAGCCACATTTCCATATCATTTTTCCTCCTTATATTACATAAACTTTAATTGGTGGTTTTGAAAGAAGTAAGAAAGTTAATTATGGAGAGTAAAAATAATAATCCTAGCAAATCTTTAGCAGAAATATCAGCTAAAGAACACATTCAAGAAATCAGAACTAAAAAATTCTCAATTGGAGCTAAACACCCTAACCCACTCACCTTTGATCTTCATCGTGCTGTTACTAGACTTTCTGCTGAGCTTTACACTAAAGATGTCCATTTTCTTATGGAACTTATTCAGGTAAATTTTTACTAGTACTATTTATATGTTTTCTATGTGTGACATTGTAGGTGTATATGACTGCACGCATATATGGTTGCGAAAATAACTTATCTACCGATTGAGTTTGTATGTGTGTACGTGTGACATCGTAAGTGTTTATATGCTTGAGCTAGTGTATGGTTGCAAACATATCATTTTCACTAGCTAAGGTGCAACTATTAGTTGTATGTGTTTATAGTATAACATGCATGCACGAGTTTTGTACTTTTTAAATACTTTTAATTTGAACCACTTGGGCAGAATGCGGAGGACAATGAGTACGGGGAAGAGGTAGAACCAACCTTAGAGTTGGTGCTAACTAAAAGAGATATAACCGGGTCCGGAGCTCCGGCTACACTAGTGGTTTTCAACAATGAAGTCGGGTTTTCGATGCAAAACATAGTATCCCTTTGTAGTGTGGGTCGCTCCACCAAGAAGGGTAAACGAGATCAAGGCTTTATTGGAGAAAAAGGTGAATTTTTTTTAATTATATGAGATGTTTTAATGTAGATTTTAAGGGTAAATTATCATTTCATCTTAATTTGATTATTTTCGTACCGATGATTTAAAGTTACGTTCTTTCACCATAAAGTTTAAGTATTTTTTAATGGATTTAAAATTTAATAGTTTCCGTACAAATAATTTTAAGCTATGTTCATTGTTTATTTTTAATGACTAGTCTTTAATAAATTTAAAATTGGAAAAAAAAATAAAAAATAAAAAAACCCTGTTACATGTTTGAGGGGATTTATTTATTTATTTCTGTATTTATTTAATTTTTATCGAACAATTAGTGTTGAAAATTTGTTCATGTGAATGTATATTGTGCCTCTTTTTTTTTAGTATATTTTTTCAGCATGATTGCTTGTAATTTTTTTTCCTTGACACTCTATTTCTTATAAGAGGGAGGGGTTGGGACGTTGGTGTAAGAAGTTTTGAAAGTGTTTTAATTGAATTGTCCGTTTAACTTTTCTAATCGCTTCATTAAATTTTGTGTGACAGCAAATGTTGCAAGTTGAAAAAAAAAAGACAATTCTAGACACTAATGATGTATGGTGAGGCAGGAGATGCATTATTAGAATATAAATTTTGCAAAATTTTACAAATGAAAATCTTCTTTCTTTATATATGTATTCTATTATTCACTGAGATGAAGCATTTGCATACTTGAATCATTTCTTTAAGCAGAACAAAAGGCGATAAATTCCTTTGTCGAAGGACTGTATCCCTTACCTGCATATTTGTAAAGGATCCTAAATGTATTCTGTCTGCTTTACCTATGCAACTTTTGTTGTAGTTAATCTTGGATTTGATATAATGTCGTATTTTTTTTTTTTTGGCCTAATGTTACAAATCTTACAATAGTGAGCTACTATGTCATCTGAATACTTTAGAAGTGTTTGGCTCATAAGTGTGTTTTTCAATATATCATATATCATCCTTAATATCCATCTCCTTTTAAGGAAAGTGATACATATCTGATGTAGTATAGCAAGGTGAATTGCAGAGTCAGAATAAATCGATTGCCTTATGTGCTATGTTTCATTTAGATAGTAACTGAAAGCAGAGTCTTCTTATCTTTATATCTTACATGAGAGCATTCATGAGGATACTTGTATGATGATTGAGATCTAGTTATTCAATATAATCAAGCAATTTGTCACTTATTAAGAAAATTTTCCCTCTCCCATTCTCGTTTTTGAAGTATTAATTAATGAACTGAGAAACTAATGGATGGATTTTGTTGTCCACTGCAGGAATCGGATTCAAGAGTGTGTTTCTGGTGAGTAAGGAACCTCATATTATTAGCAATGGATATAAGGTGAAATTTACTGAAGAACCAGACAGGAGTTGTGGCATTGGTTATATTGTTCCTGAATGGGTTGGAGACAAATCGTTGATTTCTAATATACAAAGTGTATATGGATCAAACAGAATCATTCCCACTACAACAATTGTTCTTCCCTTGAAACCTGAGAAGATTGAGTCTGTGAAAGAGCAACTTTCTCAGCTGCATCCAGAGCTTCTGCTTTTCTTGTGTAAGATAAAGAAGTTGTATGTTCGCAGTAGCAACAGCTACTATAAAGATGCCAGTGATGTATGTGCTATTTCTATATCTCATGAAACTCAACATGTGGTTGTACGGTCCAAAAAAGCAGATTCACGCGTGGTTCATCTAGCTGTTGGTGGCGCAGAAGGTTCAGATGAAGAGTCATGCCAGTATTACATTTGGAGGCAAATGTTTCCAGTAATGACTGAAAACAAGGTTCATGGCAGAGAAGACGTTAAAGAATGGACCATCTCACTGGCGTTCCCAGTCGGCAACAGGCTAACAAGGGGAACCTCTTCATCCGTAGGAGTCTTTGCATTCCTACCAACGATGATGGTTACTAACTTTCCTTTTATTATACAGGCAGATTTTTTGCTTTCTTCTTCTCGGGAAAGCATACTATTAGACAACAAATGGAACCTCGGCATACTTAAATGTGTCCCTTCAGCCTTTCTCAATGCATTTACTTCTTGTGTGAAAGAGAGGTCTACACTCTTCACCATTGCCAAGACATTCAAGTTTTTGCCAGTAGAAGAATCCCCGATTGCTCAATTTGATGAAGTCAGGGAAAGTATCAGGTTGATGTTGTGTGACGCTAAAATCATGCCATGTGAAACATTTGATGATTGCTTTAAGTGTTGTAAGCCACTCTCATCTCTGAGAATACTGTCTGACTTCAGACAGGTATTGCTCCGCATGATAAAAAATGGTATTTCTCTAGAGGGATTATCCTCATTGAAAATTCATCCAGTAGATGCTTCCCTTGATGTCGAAGTATTTTATAAGACTCTTGATTTTCTCTGTGTTTTGTCAACGTCAGAGAGCTTTGGGTGGTACGAGAAATGTATCAGTGCTTGCAAATTACTCCACCAAGCATCTGACACTGATTACATAGATATTTTATGGATTTTTGCTAATAATGAGGAAGTATTTTCTAAGACTTTCTTTATGAGAAATCAGGTTTTCAAGTATACTGATCAAACCGGACAAGTGGAGCTATGCAGTGCTTGTAAATCCAAGAAAGATGGTCACAGGATTTTGTTTGCAATGGATTCTGAACTTCATGCTTGGCTTAGTTCTTGCAACTTGGAATTCAACTGCTCAGGCGATGTGTTTTTCTTGCCAAACTCGACCCAGGCTGCCCTTATTGCTCATGAACAAAGTTCTGTTCTGATTGGTTGGCTATCATCTCATGCTAAAATTGAGTGTTGTTCTGCATATAGTTTCTCTTTATCACTTCGTGATTATATCTTGAACAACACTGAGCAAAATCTTCTGCTCAAACTGGTTCATTTTCTGTTTCATTCTCATCAAAAAGGATTCCTAACCGAGACTGATTTGTCATGCCTCATTTTGTGTATACCAATAATCGATGGGTCTGACACTATTCAAAGAGGGAAGTTTACAACTCTTGTTTCCATGGAAGGCAGCAAATGGTCGGTATTATTTGGAGGGCAAAATCTACTATCTGAACACAAATATCATGATTTGGGACATGTATACTGTGCCAGTGGAATCTTTGCTGGAGAATATACTCATGAGAAATCACTTCTCAGTTTTATGGAAAAGCATACTAGAGCACGAGATTTACCTGAGTTGCCTCCACCAAATATTGCATTGCCCGTTGCATCATCTAAGTTGACAAGTGAACAAGCATTTTTACTACTTGACTGGATCAAGTTTATCCGAGCTCAGAAAACTCCTCTGCCTGCGAAATTCATTACCAGTGTTTGGAAAGGGAAATGGATGAAGACAAATTCAGGTTATAATTCTCCATCAAAGTGTGTTCTTCTCAATGAAATAGGGAAGAGAATATTCGAGATGACATCCTGTGTTCTTAGCGATCTTTCTATCTTAGATGAGGCATTTTATGAGAATCGCATCAACCTTTATACAGATGAGCTGCAGTATCTGGGAGTTACAGTAGGAATGGATGATGTGCAAAAGGTAGCTATGACCCATTTCAAAGCAGTTGCTTCATCCGAGATGAGCAAGCACTGTGTCATTTCTCTGTTGACATTTATCGGTCTCCTCAAGGAAAGGGATATGCTTGATAGTGGATGGTTAGCGACAATGAGGAAAGGTAGGTGGCTCAGGACTTCCCAAGGGAGCTGTGCACCAAGTAAATCTGTTTTTCTAAGCTCTGAATCAGAATCAGAAGCTGTTTGTCGCATTACTTGCTTACCTCTAATTGATAGATTATTCTACGGGAGCAAACTCGATTCCTTCTCAACTGAGCTGGCATTACTTGGTGTAAAATCTGATCAAGAAGTGTATGGACTAGTCACTGAAAAACTCGTCTTTCCTGTCAACCCTGCTTCCATGACGAGTAATTGTGGCTTCTTCCTTCTTGAGTGTATAAGAAACTTACAGCAACCAGGTTCTACTGCCTTTATTGAGAAACTGAATTCTAACCCTTGGCTGAAAACCAACCTTGGGTTCAAGTGTCCTTCATCAACCATACTTTGTAGCTCTAACTTGGGTATTCTACCCACTATTGTTGAGGTTCCTGTTGTAGATGAAGTGTATTACGGAAGATCAATACAATCCTATACAAACGAGCTGAACGCACTTGGTGTTGGATTGGATTTCAGTGGCACGTTGAACATTGTAGCCAATCAATTACACGAACATATTTCATCTGGCAAGATGTCACCCTCAAAAGTAATATTATTGCTGCAAGGCATTAGAAATATGTTGAACACCACACCTGATCCTTTGCATCATATTCGTGAGGCTTTGTCTGGAGAAGCACTTTTCAAGACCCACTGTGGTTTCCGAAGGCCTAGTGAATCCATTCTTTCTAGTCAGTCTTGGGCGTCTATCTCATTGTTAATAGATCTTCCAATGATTGATGATTCCTACCATGGTATTGACATATATGGCTACCAAGATGAGCTAGAGATTCTTGGAGTTATAGTTGGCCTGGAAGAAGGAGCTCATTTAGTTGCTAAGAGTTTGACAACGCCGATAAAGGCAGACCATATCACTGCTGAAGGTGCTTTAACTTTGCTCAAAAGTATCAGAATTCTAATGTCACGAATCTGTAATGAGAATTTTTCACTTGCCCCTTTTCTTGAAAATATTTTGGCCAGTGAGTTTTTGAAGACCATTGAAAGTTACAAAACCCCTAAGCAATGCGTATTACTTCATCCAGAATGGAATGAAATCCTTCACTTTACGGATTTGCCATTTCTTGATGAAGTTTACTATGGCAACCGCATTTCTGAATACAAGGATGAGCTGCAAAGCATTGCAGTAAAAGTTGATGCAGCGGAGGTTTGTGCTCTCCTCTTCGAATCCCTTTACTCACTTAACAAGTCATCATCTGTGAAGCGATTCTACAAATTTTTGCACAAGTATTCCAATGATTCAATTTTTCCTGATAAGGCTAAAGAGTCTAAAGTGTGGATACCTAGCCAAAATGATTCTGACAAAGGTGAATGGGTAAGTTCAGAGGTCTGCATAGTTCATGATAGGGATGGGCTTTTCCACAATCTCTTTCATTGCCTGGATATCCATTATGAGGGCGCATTGCTTGACTTGTTTTCTCGAGCCTTTAGTGTAGTAGAAGTTCCTGGATTAGATCATTATATGCAGCTATGGCATAGCTGGTTGAAGAGAGCAGATTGCCAACTATCTTCCACAGAATGCCACTCTTTTTGGAGCTTTGTTCTTGACAACTGGACTCCAGAGACCGAGAAGGTTCTAAAGCAAAACCTGACTGAATTGCCTGCTGTATCTTCAACTTCAGGAATCCGACTCCTGAGAAAGGAAGAGGTGATTTTGCCAAATGATTTGCTTCTTAAAAAAATGTTCATGAGCCTTGATAAATGCCCTCCATTTGTGTGGTTTCCAAAAGGAAGCATCTCCTCATCTTTTACTCCTGCAAAACTCCAACTTGTGTATGATTATCTTGGAGTGAAACGCCTGTCTGAATCTGTCAAGCTTCAAGTCAAAACTTGTTCTGTGTTGAATCAACGAAGCCTCTGCACTGACATGAAAAAGAAACTCATCTCCAGAGGTTTAATAATGATTGTGCTTGCTTACCTTTCTGGCCCAAAGGTTAATTTGGGTGTGAAATTGAGGCATGAAGCTGCAATGTCGATTCTCAACTTGTCAGTATATGAGTGTAATGGACCAATACTGGTGAATTATGCATTGAATCTGCCTTGTTGCAAATCATATGTAGTGGAATCTCGAAAGCTGGTTCATTGGAATAAGGAGTCATGGATGCTGCTCATTGATAAATCTTCTTATGGAAGTCGGAAGTTAACTTTGGAATTCGGTTGTTGTTTTTCACAAGAGCTTGCTGAAGGCCTTCTAGCTCAGGAAAGATCTGTTGCAGTGAGCGATTTAAGAATGATGATCCAGCTGGGTCTTAACTATGAGTTTGAGCAACAGTCAGTTGACTTTCTTCTTACAAGAGAGAGCTTGGAGCTGTTGCTAGAAGATGAAAAATTTCTTAATGATGTGTTTCCTTTCGAGCAGTTGGAAGTGGATGGTTCCTGCAAACGTATTTGCCCATCCACTCCTTTGCCTTCCTCTAAGAAACAAAGGCACTAGTTAGAGGTAAGTTTATTGATTCTATTTAAAATATTGTACACATATACTTAAGAATTTGTGATTCGTCGAGTTTTCTTAATCATTCTCATCAGCAATTATATTGACTTCTGTTATGTTTCCTTTTGCAGTTATGACACTTTTGGTTTAATATTGTGAATAGCTTTCCTCAATGGTTGATATTCGTCTTCAATGGTATCTGAACTTGACGAATAGCTCAATATTTTGATGTAACTAAGATTAGCCAGTTTTTGCTTGTTATCAGAATGAATCTTTTCTGATTGTTACTTCAGCATTGGAGCTTGAATATCTATGTATAATTGTGTGTTTTTTTTTGTAAAATCTGTATGAATGCATGGCTATTATTGACTTATTGTGTATATACTATATGAAACAAGGGAAAGTCTAACTAAAGTACAAATCTTAGTGTTTGTAGTCTTTGTACCTAAGCTTTTAATTTATGTTCACGTTTCTTTGTTTCTTTTCTTGATTATTGTGTAACAAGCCATTGTAAATTCCGGTTATAAATAATATGGTGAATTCCTGATTAGGATGTCCTAAAATTACAGGTCAATATCAAAATGAAGTTGTCTTTGAAAATTCGCAACCCACCCATCTATATCACTTGAAATTTGAAACAAATAGTTTCATACAAATGCGTACTTTCAATTATATTGGTAATGTATTCTCTCTGATTATAAATAACTGCATTATGGACATAATTTTAGGCAAGCAAAACCTTATTATAAAATCAAGGGTTTTAGAATATTAAGGTTTACTTATATTTTTAAGAGTTACCTAGTTGTAAATTTGGGGTTTTAGAATATTAAGGTTTACTTAGATTTTAAGATTTACTTAGTTATAAATTAGGGATTATTTAGTTATAATTTTTAAGGGAAGGTTAGTTAAATTATTGTTAATTACCTAGTTATAAATTAGGGGTTTCTTCAATAAGAATTTTGAAGGTTACCTAGCTAGCTAGTAGCTAGTTATAAATTAGGGGTTAGTTAGAGTTTTAAGGATATCTTATAATACACAACTAGTTCTTGTGCCCGTGCAATGCAGGCTACTAATAATAAAATAACTAGGTTAGACTTGTGCATCGCACAGTTTTTACAAAAGTCTGCTCATCGATTTGAAATGTACTTATAAATGATTTTAAAATCATTCGAAATCAATTTTTTATGTATAATTTAGATAGTAGCATTCGCAGCAAGTACTTGTGATGCCATTGAAGATTTTTTGAAAATAGAAGGGGAGTAGGTCTTTAGGATCAAGAAATCTGATACATATAGAGAATGGAGAGAATAAATTGAGGGAAGTGCTTATTGTTAATTTGTATTGATTATGAGAAGCATATTTATAGTGATTACAAGAGTATATGATATTGACAGCTATAGTAATTCTAGGATGAAGTTACAAAAGAATATATACAAAGCTAAAGTCTAGGAGCTACTTTGGAATATTAACAAAATAATTAATTGTTATAATTAAGTATTGACCAGGAATCGGTCAATCCTTATCAAGAGGTTGTGATTATAGCCTTATCATAAAAAAAAATTTAAAAATTCAAAAACTACTTAATATACCAAATAAGTGCTCAAAGTAAAATATAATGACATCAGATTTTATTTAGGCGGGAAAATTTTTCTTGTAAAGTTGTCATGTGGACAATATTGACGTCAGCAATTGCTACTTTAGTGTTATTTATAGATTTATAAAAATGTAGTCAGTTGCGGGGTAGAAGAAGGGGAAGGGGAAGGGGAAGGGGTTAGAAATCAACACGTGTCAAGCCATCTCCTCTAATTGGTTGCCACTTAACAAATTGGTCGTGACCTGTTAAAAGAAGATTGATGTTAAAGGTAGGATTATTTCTAAGATGGGATTATTTTTAGAAGATCAATCAAAGATGGGATTATTCTTTCTATTTAGAAAAGTAATGTTCTTAAAAAAAATATCACTTACAAAACAAAGATTTTAAGAAAAGAGTGTCACTTAAAAAAAAATCAAATGGTATATGTACGTAGGTAACTTGCCCACTTGGGGAGGGTAAAAAAAGTACTTCCTCTATTCCGTTATAGTTGCAACATTTCTCTTTTCACGCTTGTCGATACATGATTTCAATTGTTAATATCTTTAATTATCAATATTTAAATTATAAACATTTGATAATAAAATAGTATAAACCGAGATGAATCTAACAAGATCTCATATGACTATATTTTTGCATAGCTATAAATCATCAAAGCCGGTCAAAGTGGAACACATGAATAGTGTAAAAATCAAACTGTTGCAACACTTAAAACAAAAAAAAAACAAAAAAAAAACAGAGGAAGTATATGAGAGCCCTTAGTTAATGTACACCTTTTACTCCATTCATATTTTCTTATTTGCTCCATTTCCTCATGCGCGGAATTTTAGGAGGAATATTAGAAAGTAATATAATATGATGGAAGTGGGGTTGGTTGAAGAATTAAAAAAATCTAAAAAAGCAAAAGTGAGTATAAGTGGAAATGAGAGAGAATATGAAAAATATTAAAATATGATGTTAGGGGACCACTAGTGAGGAGAAAAGTAGTAAAATGTTGTTAAAAGCTTTCAAAAAGGGAAATGGAGCAAGTAATAGAAGACAGCCGCGAAAAAAAAAACGAAGCAGGTAATAAAATATGGAGGGAATAGTTTAACTGACACCTAGACACACGTGTCGATGCACAATTTTGACTATTTTTAATGTTTATAACTATTTAGAGTTAAGCAAAAAATTAGTGTGTGACCCGGGCTTTACTTCAGGTGCTATTTTGAGTAATTTATTTTTACAAAAATTATAGAGTTTAGAGACTTGTTGATTTTTTTATTGTGAGTAATTATAATACAATGACAACAATAAATTATTATACATATTATTTGCTTTTATTTTATATTCCCCTCTCTCTCTCTCTCTCACACTCTCTCTCTCTCTCTCTCTCTCTCTCTCTCTCTCTCTATATATATATATATATATATATATTACCGGGTTACCGTGAGGATTAGCCGAATAATAGGAACTAAGAATTAATATGGACCGTCATATATAAGAGAAGAGGCACGCAATCTAACGGCCCAAATTCGTTCAGACAAATTAAATGAGGCTCGAAATTTCAGGCGCCATTTTCTCTCTCTTCTCTCTCTCCTCCACCATTTTCTCTTTCTCCTCTGCCATCAAAACTGCTCAAAAAAACCTTCAAAAACCGCTCAAATTCTTAGAAAAACCGCCATAACCGCCATTTTCAACTCCTTAATTACGCTATATAAGCACAACTCAAGTTCTATTATCTACATTTCTTCAATTTCGGAACAAAAATTGTCGAAAATTAGCAAAAATTGGAGAATATTAGGTATTACTTTGAAACTTTGAAGTTCATACACATTCGTTTAATTTTGTTGCAATTTCTTACCTATTTTTGTGTCTTTTGCTTGAATTTATTGAATTTGAAGTAGCAGAAGTTAAATCGGAGTAGTTCGAAGTTCAATTTCTGTGTTTCGAAGTTCAATTTGCTTGATATTCATGAATTTTTTGAATTTTGTTTGTTTTTGTTCTAATTTTGTTTGATTTACTTTTAATTTCTGGATAAATTTGTTGTAATTAGTTTAAAATTGATTAGAAGTTAATTCGAAGTTGAATCAAAGGTATTTTTATTTATTTATTTATGTATTTTTTTTACGAATTTTTCCATAATCTTAGATTTTTATTTTTTTTTTTAACGAATTTTTGTATAAATTTAGATCAGATTTTTTTTTTAGAATATTGGTAAAAATTTAGATCTGTTTTTTTTTTTTTATGAATTTAAGTAATTTGGGTTCTATTGCTACTAATTTTGAGTAATTTTAGTTAATTTTTAAGTAATTGTTGATATTAGTTAAAAGAAATCAGATAAAAGTTGATATAAAATAATTAAAAGTCAATAAAATACTATCATTAATTTGGAGTAGTTTCCTTTAATTTTTAGTGGTATTTTTTTTTACAAGTAGATAGAAATTGGCTAAAAGTAACTTTAAATTGATTAAAAGTTAATGAATTACTGTATGATCTGTAGCTATTATGGCTTGTGTATAAATAATGAAATTGACATGGTTGAACTGAGGATGAGATTTTCGTTTCGAAATGTTGCATGTATAGAAATCATTTGTTGTTGTTATTATAATAACAAAGTTGATTTGAAAGTATATATAATAGGCAGTATATATAATTACAACGAAACACATTACTAGTTAAATATTTTATCACTTTGTATATTAAGTCTTGAAGTATAAATCGAGAAAAAAACAATCAATATATCAGAAAGTATGTTTCATTTTTGTTTTGAATTGCATGCAGATTAAAATGACAAAAATTCCAAAGAAAAATGTTGCAAAAAACACCTTCAATACAACCTACTGTAGGAAAAAAAGCTCTTGCCGCAAAGAAAGCTCAAATGGAAGATCCTGCAGGAAAAAAAGCTCCTGCAGCAAAGAAATCTCCTACAGCACAAAAGATATCTCCAAAGAAACCTGCAAATTCAAAGAATTCTCCAATTAAAGGTATATTATCTTGAAGTAAAAGATTCAATTTATAAAGTAAATAGAAACAGTTATAAAGTAAACCATTTGCCTTTATAAGTCTATGATGCACAAAATTAAATGATTGAATATAAAAAGTAAATGGTGATAAAGTTTATAAAGTATAGAAAAATGCTTATAAAGTAAATATATATGTTTTTAAAGTTATTTAACATGTTATGTGTTTATATACTCATTGTATTAACATAATTTCGTTGTTAAACTTAATTGTATTAGGTGCTAAACTTCAAAGGATTTCAAAAAAGCAAATATTGATAAAGTGAAGGCTTAAGGAACTTGAACCTTCAAAAGGTTTATAGAAGTTTATTGTATTATGTTCTAAAGTTAGATTAATATGTTGTGAAATAGGTTGTTTGTTCTTCAATGTTTTAATTATAAAAGTAAATGTTTTGATATCTTGTGGTTTAACAAAATATAGGAACCAAAAAAAGAACAAAGGAAGAAAAAGATAGCAGTTATGAACCAGAAGCTGAAAAGGATGAAGAATATAATGGATCATCAGAAGAAGACAAAAAAATTACAAAAAATAAAGAAAAAAATGAAGCTTGACAATTCAGATAAGGAGGTACAAGAAGTTATAGAGGTTAAAGAAGGAAGTGACAATCATGATGGTAATTTGGACATCAAGAAAACACACTACAAACCCAATGTAGTATTTGATATTATCAAGGACTTCAGTGAGAGACAGAGATTAGATGTTATAAGTGTTGGATTTGGAGGCTTGCTTGAACTAAAACTAACAAAAGTTTTGACAAAGATGCTTCCATGGCTTTGTAATCATTTCCATAAAAAAAGTTGTATGCTCAAGATTGACATGCTGAAGGAGTTCTCTGTAAGTT